GACAGAGTCTCAAGCTGTCACCCTGGGTAGAGTGCGGTGTTGTCACAGCTCACAGCAACCTCAAACTCTTGGGCTTAAGTGATTCTCTTGCCTCAGTCTCCCAAGTAGTTGGGACTACAGGTGCCCGCCACAATGCCCAGCTATTTTTAAGTTGTAGTTGTCATTGTTGTTTGGCCATCCAGGCAGGATTTGTACCTGCCAGCTCTGGTGTATGTGGCTGGCGCCTTAGCCGTTTGAGTGACAGACACCGAGTTAGTGTTGGGAGTTTTTAATAAGGCTTTCAGAAATGTGGCTGAACATAAAAATACGTGAGGGCTGGGTGCAGTCGCTCATACCTATAATCCCAGCTCTTGGGAGGCTGAGACAGGTAGATTGCCTAAACTCACGAGTTTGAGACCAGCCTGAGCCAGAGTGAGATCTCGTCTCTAAAATATAGCCAGGCATTGAGGTGGGCGCCAGCTTACTGGGGAGGGTGAGGCAAGAGAATCACTTAAGCCCAAGAGTTTGAGGTTGCTGTGAGCTGTGACGCCACGACACTCTACTAAGGGTGACATAGTGAGACTCTGACCCATCCCCTTGCTCCCCCCCCCCAAAAAAAATACTACGGGGGAACAAGTATTCTGGTTATATGATGAATTAAATTTCATTTTTTATATTTTGCTTTTTTTGTTTTTATTCTTTGAATTAAATTTTATACAAAACATTTTCTTTTCCTGGGTTAATTAATGCAAACTCTTCATTTCAGCTCAAAATTGGAAACTCATTTAGGAAGCTTTGTAAGTAATTACCTTGATGGCTAGTTTGGAAGCATGTTTAACATAGATTAGAAAGGATAAGACTTATGAATTTTAATACAGAGTTTTTATGATTCATCTTTGTATACATTGAACTTGTTCAATGATGATACTTTTCTTCTCCACCAAAAAATAAATCTCAGTGTATAAACTTTGCTAGAGGTTAATATCAACACCCTCATGACCTGTGAAATGTAGTAAGAGTAAGTCATGTGTAGGTTCAGATTTATGAATCGATTGTTTTAGACAGTTCAGGAACTTACCACAGTACAGCTTATTTCATGAAATTTTCAGTTTTTTAGAGGAAAGTATGTTTGTCCCTGAATTTTCAAATCACTGTATGGAACTCTTTATTAGAATTCTTATGATTGTGACCTTCTAATGTGAAAACTTTACTCCATTAGATTATTTAATATTTCTGATATTTTTAAAATTAATACTAATTGTCATTTTTTCCTTCTCACAGCTTCATATTCTCCAATTCAGCCTCATTCTCTAATAAAACATCAGCAGATTCCTCTTCATTCACCACCTCCCAAAGTTTCCCATCATCAGCTGATATTACAACAGCAGCAGCAGCAAATTCAGCCAGTCACACTTCAGAGTCCAAGTCAAGATCCACCCCCGTCCCAGCACTGTCTCCCACTCTCCAACCACGGCCTTCCCGCAGCCCCCAGCAGTGCCCAGCCGCAGCACTGTTCTCCAATTCAGAGTCACCCTCCTCCTTTAACAGTGTCCCCCAGTCAGTCACAGTCAGCGCAGCAGTCTGTGGTGGTGTCTCCACCACCCCCTCATTCACCCAGTCAGTCTCCCACTATAATTATTCACCCACAGGCACTTATTCAGCCACATCCCCTTGTGTCCTCCGCTCTCCAGCCAGGGCCAAATTTGCAGCCGTCTGCTGCTAATCAGGTACAACCTGCCACACAGCTGAATCTCCCATCCCACCTTCCACTCCCGGCTTCCCCAGTTGTGCACATTGGCCCAGTGCAGCAGTCAGCCTTGGTGTCCCCAGGCCAGCAGATCGTGTCTCCAACATCACACCAGCAATATTCAACCCTGCAGTCCCCTCCAATCCCAATCGCAACCCCTCCACAGATGTCGACTTCTCCTCCAGCTCCACTCCCACCGCTGTCCTTGCCGTCTATGCAGTCCTTACAAGTGCAGCCTGAGATTCTGTCCCAGGGCCAGGTTTTGGTGCAGAACGCTCTGGTGTCAGAAGAGGAGCTGCCCGCTGCAGAAGCTTTGGTCCAGTTGCCGTTTCAGACTCTCCCTCCCCCACAGACTGTTGCGGTGAACTTGCAAGTGCAGCCACCAGCACCTGCTGGCCCACCAGTGGTAAGCCCTGGGAGCTCTTTGACTTTCTTCTGAACTGGAAGTACAAATGGTTTTCTACCACACTGTTACATTGCTAAGATCTAAATGCCTTTGAATTTAAACAACTCGATGTTTCTGTATGTCAGTATTCTGACAAACATGCTGTTGGGCAAAAAACCTGCTGTCTGTTTAGTCTTGTTGCATGCTTGATAACTTGTGATGGTTATTAAAGTCCCTCTTTAATTTTATTACTATTTAAACAAATCCATCTGCTATCTTTACAGAGTTGATTTTTTTTCCCCAAGGGAATGCATTTGAACCAGTGTCATCTGCACAAAGTTTTTTCTCTTAAGGTGATTATCCTTCATAGCTCCCTTCTGTTGGCTTGTGTGTTCTTAACGTATGGTTGATGTGGCCTGACCTTTTTGGTTTTGTGCATTCTGAAGTCCTGGGCCTTTAGGGGCTTTTGTTTTGAGGTGGAGGGGTATGTTTGTATGATTTTGGTAAAATTGTAGTTTGTAAAATATTTTGTAAATTAGATTTCGTAAATCTAATTTTATGAATTTTCGTTCTGGGAAAAAGTTTTACTTTGCAAAAATAATTAACTCTGGTAGGGATGTTCAAGGTTTATTCTTCTCTGCCGCACATTGGAAAAAGAGTTGTTTTGGACCCCACATTAAATACACAAAGACCAACAAAAGCTGATTAGCACAATAAGTTTGTGCACACTTTTCGTGATACCCAACACCACAGATAAGAAAAGTTAAGTCTCACAAAATCAGCATGCAGCTATCCCTACAAGTTGGACATCCTGCAAGTGTAGACCATTTTAAAGAATTATTAAACTTAACATTTCTTTCTTTCTTTCTTTCTTTCTTTATTTTTTTGAGACAGAGCCTCAAGCTGTCCACCTGGGTAGAGTGCTGTGGCATCACAGCTCACAGCAACCTCCAACTCCTGGGCTCAAGCGAGTCTCCTGCCTCTGCCTCCCAGAGTAGCTGGGACTACAGGTGCCCGCCACATGCCCGGCTAGTTTTTGGTTGCAGCCATCGTTGTTTGGCAGGCCCAGGCTGGATTCAAAACCCCCAGCTCAGGTGTATGTGGCTGGTGCCTTAGCCGCTTGAGCCACAGGCGCCGAGCCACACTTCTTTATTTCTACCAAGAGAAAATATATACTTAAAATATTTCTCATTTATAAAAGCTGGAAAGTCCCAATGGATAAATTTAATATTGAGGGTAAAAAAATTCCACTGAGAGGAATAAAAGTTTTATTAAGATTGTAATGAAATTTGTTAAGAATGAACCTCTAAAAATGGTTATGTTGCATAAAAAGGAAAATTATCTTGAAAAATATTTTTCTTTAGACGGTCTGTAAGAGACTTCATAAAACTTACAGAATAACTTAGTATAAAATTGAAATAAAGTCTCTGGCTTGGCGCCTATAGCTCAGTGGGTCTGGTGGGTTTGAACCCAGCCCAGGCCCCCCAAACGATGACAACTACAACCAAAAACTAGCTGGGCGTTGTGGCGGGTGCCTATAGTATCAGCTGCTTGGGAGGCTGAGGCAAGAGAGTCGCTTAAGCCCTAGAGTTTAAAGTTGCTGTGAGCTGTGATGGCACAGCACTCTACCGAGGGTGATATAGTGAGACTCTGTCTCAAAAAAATAAAATACAAAGTCTTCTATATGCCTTGTATTTTCCTGGTTGTTTTTGTTGGGGGAGACGTTGGAGGAACACATTTGGAATTAAATATTAAAAACGTAACACTTTAAAAACTATTGTTGCTTCTTGCCTTAATCCCTTTTTAAAATTTTAAAAGGTACCATTTTTGGACGTTTTTCCAAAAAATGAAATTGATAACTTTCTTTGCTGTCCCTGGTGTGGTCACTGTGCTTATTCCCATGTTACCTTCAAAGAACTTTTACCTTTGAGGAATAAAGCTCTAATTATTAAACTGCTATATCTTATCTTTCACCAAATGTATTATTATTATTTTTTTCTATCAAAACACATTTCTCTGGCTGCACCTGTGGCTCAGTGAGTAGGGCTCCGGCCCCATATACTGAGGGTGGCGGGTTCAAACCCAGCCAAGATGGCACAAAAAAATAGCCGGGCATCTGTAGTCCCAGCTACTCAGGAGGTTGAGGCAAGAGAATCATCTAAGCCCAAAGAGCCTGAAGTTGCTATAAGCTGTGACACTATGGCACTCTAAGGTGGGTGATAAAGTGAAACTCTGTCTCATAAAAACAAAACAAAACAATAAAACACACATGTTTCTTTACAAATTTTATTTTCCTGATTGTTTCAGATATTTAAAAGTAGAAAAATACATTTATTAAGAGAAGTGGAATTTTGAAAGATAAAAGTGATTTCAAAGTAAAATCAGTATTTTTTAAAAAGATACATTAAAACAATTAGTTTTTTTTTTTTTTTGAGACAGAGTCCCATTATGTCACCCTCAGTAGAGTGCTGTGGCATCACAACTCACAGCAACCTCAAACTCTTGGGCTCAAGCCATTCTCTTGCCTCAGCCTCCCAAGTACCTGGGACTCCAGGCACCTGCCACAATGCCTGGCTATTTTTTGTTGTTCTTGTTATTTAGCTAGTGTGGGCCGGGTTTCAACCTGCCAGCCTCAATGTATATGGCCAGCACTGTAACCACTGTGCTGCAGGCATGGAGCCAAAAAAGTTAGTTGTTTTTTTTTTTTTAAATTAACATTGGGTATAAATATGTTGAGGGTAGATAATTTAGAACTAACGAGCAGATGTTCCTCAGTTTATTTAGGAAGGGGAGACACGGGGATAATGGACTTAACGGAGGTAAGTGTGGCAGTCTCTGCTGCTTTGAGAATAGTCACAGTTCTGAGTGAACAGTGATTGTGACGTGCAGTTTCCTCATGATCTATGAGCAAAATCTTTACTACTCTGCTTTCTTTCAGCATTTTAGTTGTTATGTTTAGTTTTTTTATGTGGATCCTGCCAGATGTGCGTGACAGATGTGGTTTTGCCTACTTCTGTTATTCTTTAACTTGTCTTGTCTTGAGAGGTTTGGAAGAATGTGTTGTTAGCCCTAACTATGAGGAATGAAAGTATTTTGTAGTATTTCTTGATGGGTCTTTTCACAATATGCTGTTTATGTAATGGTTATTAATTAAGTGAAGTTAAACTCTTCCATTATTTTTTAAAAATTAGAATTCTATGCCAGATTAAGCTTTGATTCCTTAAAAGATACTATAGCAGATACTGGAATAACATGTGACTACATTAAGATTTAAGAGTTTCAGCATTTTAAGAAAAAGAAAGGGTAATGTTCTTTGGAAGACAAGTAACATCTTGTAAAGGAATGCTACCCAGATGATTGAACTGGTTGAATTAACGTCCTTATACTGCAGGCACCTCACTGACATGACCACTGCAGCAGCTGTCCCTGGGCACTAGGTTTGGGTTCGTTCGTTGTTTTTTTTTTCTTTATTCTCCAGACACTTTTGTAGAGGATTTTCCCTATATTGGGCATTATCATAATTTAAAAAATTGTTAATCCTGAGCAGACCCTAGCAGCTATATAATAGCTACATTGTACAATAACAAATGACCTTGGCT